AGTTTGTAAACGCTTCTAAAAGGCAAAAATATATTGATTTTTTATATAACTAATTTCAGCTATTCTAAAGTACATTAAATTTTCTCAGAAAATGGATACCGTTTATTTCCGCAAGAAAATTTTTATTTCCCTCAATTCGTGAATGCTTCCAAAAAGCAAAAATATATTTATTTTTTATATAACTGATTAATACCCGGTATTCTAAAGTCTAATAAATTTCCTTGGAAAATGAAAACAGTATTTTGCATTTCCGCAGGAAAATTTGTGTTTTCCGTAGTTCACAGTAGCTTTTTAAAGACAATTTTTTTTTTAACAACTGATTTCAGCTAAACGAAAGTTGACCCGTTAAAAATAAAGTGGTCAAACATTTTTATACACTCAGATGACAAAAAAGCCGCCGCTAAATTTTTAGTTCTATTTCCTTGATTTTTTTTAACAAACTGTATATAAATGTATCAACTTTAGTTCGAAAACTCAGTTTATTATAAACTTTAATATTTGACTTATTATACAGGGTTAATCGAAGGGTTGTTTTTTACTCTATCTTTAAAACACCCTGTGCAAAAATTTTGTGAGCAAATTTTCCTAAAACATTATTTTTCGGTCAGAACCATGTCTTCTGAATATTTTGTTTTTTGACTCATGTCAACACATCTCTTGGTTAATTTTTGAGAGCAAAACGAATTTTCCACAAATATTTTGAAATGTTTTCAATTATCGTTACTTTTTTTGATGTTATTCTTCATAATGACGAGGTAGCTTTGGTGATTATTGTTGTGTATGATTGAATATTGTTCTTAGTGTCGGAGATTGTGCAAAAGTCATTGATCTTGTTGAAGATGGTCAAAATTCAAAATTCTATATATTTGCTTGGTCCTTTAAGAAGAATGGAAAAACATAACACAATATATTTGCAGACTTATTAAAAGTATGAACCGACGCGACGTCTACATCAGACAGTTATAGTTGGTTATAGCAGCCGGGGGAGGTAATACAAAATCTTAGAGTATTTAAGTTTTTTGTTTGTACACTTGGTTATTACAGATATTTTTTTTAATATTTTTAGTTCCGTCGTTTGGTGTGAAATTGATCTCCGGGAGTGAGACTGATCACTTGGTTGCATTTTTATTAATTCAAATGTAGCGCGCGAATCGTGGGTTCGTTTAATGTTAAACCGCCAAGTGTGTTTATTAGAAACGTGACCGAAGGCAGGGGTGGATGGGGAAGTGGAAGCCGGCCCGGAAAAAACAGGCAACCGGCCCAAATCCACAAAAACAAAATGACCATAACGAAGAAAGATATTTTATTTATTAATGGTTAAGTTATTTATTAATAAGTAAGGGTGTTTTTCGCTCGTACGAAAAAGCTCTTTTGCCTCCGGGTTAAAAAAAAATAAATTGTCTTGATCAAAATTTTAGTAAAGACCAATATTGTGTCGGACATCTGAATTTTTACTACAAAATGGCTCAGTTTTACAGGGTTCCACTGCTTTATTTCCATTATCGAGAACGGGAATTTGATCTTGAATAGACTACGATTTTGAGTCACGATTTTGAGAAAATTTAACACTTCCTGATTCGTTCAGTTCAGCTGACCCAATTCTCTGTGAAATACATTACTTTTAGCTTTTCGGGTATAAACTTTCTTACACATTGTAGAAAGAAATTCTCTCTTTTCTGCTACAGTAGCAGCCTCCTCGTGTATACGTGTTTTTAACTGAATGAACCGCGGTCGCCATTAAACCTGCAGCATTTTTGGGTTATTATATAGTTGATATGCCATGACTCAAACGAAAAAAACCTAGGCAATACCTAGGCAGTGGATATATATGTGTTCTGATGTAATGCTATGTTACAGTCCATAATAAGAATATTATTTTCGAGACATATTAATATTTTATTCTCTGCTGTCTCAATAATTTTTACCAAATTCATTTTAGCAACATGTTAAACAACAATTTAGACTTGGCTTTTAGTTCTCAGACTTGGATTTTAGTCCGTCCCTAAGTCAAGCCAAGCATAGATATGTTTTCTGATTCTCCGTCAACCGCAGAGTTCGCATCAAATTCGTCCACCTTTTTACAAAGAGGAGCTCGAAAAATATTGCACCGAGGCTCCCAGTTGTCAATCTACGCTACCGTATTCTTAGATACACTTAAATCGAGACTATTTAAATATACCTAATGCTATTTATTCATTCTTTTTTTTTTGCTGCCAGTTAGTCATATTTATTAGTTATTAATAAAAGAATAGTGGGTAAAACTATCAGTGTAAACCTTAAATAAGTGCAAATATTTTCAGGGGTGGTGTATTTCGACCCCAGGGACACGTTTATGAGGGTTTTTTTGCAAAAAAAAATGTTAAAAATCGAGCATTTTCTTTTAAATTTTCCTGTATATTTTAGAAAACTTTTAGAACTTCCTGTTCACCGCAAATTTTCCCACGGTATAGTTTCTTAATCTCTGATATTACGGCACTAAAAGAGATGCAAATACCGAAAAATTATGGCTCAAATTTTTTTAAAAATAAATATATTTTTTTAAATTTCCAAACTTTAATAACTCGATTGGACTTATTTGAAACTCGATAAAGAGAAATTATGTTTAGCAAATTCATTTTAGTAACATTTTAAACAACAATTTAGACTTGGCTTTTAGTTCTCAGACTTGGCTTTTAGTCCGTCCCCGTCCAGAGAAAGACATTTTACAATAGTTATTTTACAAATTGGTGTTTATGTTTAAAAGCAACTAACGATTATACTGATGCAAATTGATTAGTGACTCCATAACTAGGAGTCACTAAGGATCTTACGTCACTTTAGTTAGAAGTTTAACCATTAAATTTTTTGCTAATCAAATCTTTTTTGAGCTCTGATCGGGAACGACCCACCGGCCCAACTTGGCACCGGCCCACCGAAAATTTTCCCGTTTTCCGATATGGCCCATCCACCCCTGACCGAAGGGAATGTGTACAGGTCACGTCGTTAAATCGCTGTATTTTGTTTAAAAAATACATTCAAATTGTTTAACTGTTTTTGCTTTCATTTACAACTTCTAGAACTTTGATTGGTAAGTCAAATTGTGATATAGTAACGAACACACTGATTACATGGCGCTATTTGTTAATGTTTCTGCCAATTATATTCCGAAATTAAGTTATATTTTCGATCGTGAATTATGTGGTTATACTTTAATTTGTTCGAAGGGGTTAGATTAATCGCTTAGTATGGGCGAGATTGATCATCGAATGATCAATCTCACCCCGTGAACAATCTCACCCTGCGTGTCAATTGTGGTAAAACAAGAGAGAACTGTTGGTATTTCTTTCTTGTTTTTGATTCAGAAAATAAATATTTAATTTGAAAGTCTAATCTTGTATTTTTTTACATCGTAGCAATAATCATTTTTCATTGATCATTCTCACCCACACCAAACAATCTCACCCCAAATGCTAAAGAATCCTATAAAATTTAAACTATGACTTTAAAATAGACAGGGGTTAGATTAATCAGTTTCTATGTAGGTATACGCTTATTCAACGTATTAAATAAAACGTGATCAATTACACCACACAGGTAGTATGAGATTGTTCAGGACGTTTTGTTCGTTCCAGACCTTAATATATTTTTTTCAAATTTTCTGATTATTTGGTGTTGTTCCCATGATTAACATCTATCAAAAAAACTTATTTACAAAAATAAAATTTTACACAAATACCAAATCTCGGCTAAAAACTTTTTCTTCACCCCAAACGACGGTTCTGTTAGTGTTACTAATATTTATTAAAACCAAGCCAGTATCGTTACTTTTTAACATTTTTTTAAATTATAATATATAGTTCTAGTTAGTGTCGATATGACATTATGACAATAGTCACCAAAGGCCCCTCGTGATATTAAAAAATTACATCATAAAGTAGTGATAGTTAAAAAAATTGAAAATTGTTGGTTGCAAGTTTATTTCGCTCTTAAAAAATAATCCAGGCATGTGTTTACATGAGTTCAAAAACAAAATGCTCAGAAGACATGGTGCCAATCGAAAAATAATGATTTAGAAACGATGTACTTAAACAGTCGTTAAACGGTAGCCTACTAAAATGTCGTTAATAGATATTGTGACGTCGTTCATATCGGCGGAAAGTAATGCCTAGCTATAAGCATTTTGCAAGAGCACCTGTGGCTCCGTGGCTCCGTGGCTATCGCTTCGTGAGCGTTAGCAATGTGGGTTAGCTATCCCCGTACGTATACGTAGGTAAGATTTCCTTTTAAATGCGGTCGAAGTGGAAATTTGGCATACATGCAATTTTCTAAGGCAATGATGTATTTTGCCAAAATGTAAGTCGCCGGGTCTAATTTATTTCGATGTCATTGAAACCATAGCTGGCCATGACTTTATAAAAAGCGCCATTTTTTAAGCTTAGCAGCGATATAAGCTATAATATGTTTTCTTCGAAAAATTACTGAGTTATAGCCAATTCTTATAATTTTTAAACAATTTCACTTAGTTAGCCATGGAAACAAGTTTAATCATCTTTACTCTCAGAAATGTAAAGCTGCCACATCCAAACTTTGTAAATTAAAATAAACAAAAATTGTAAATATGAATTTTTCAAATGAATAAAAGCACATAAAAGCGTGTAGGATTATTGGTTCAACTTTTCTTGGTCATACACTTTGCCATACATTTTAGGAGGTCATACATTTAGAGGATACGTTGACCGGTGAATGTTACGTTTTTAAGAGAATGGTTTTTAAGACATGTTACAAAAAGCTAAATTTATTTATAGCGAATTCTTATCTTTCTAGACTAATTTCACTTAGATTGCATGGTATTCTTCTTGTGTTATGATTTATAACTTATAAAAAGTCAGAATATATTATTAAACGGTTATATATATTAACGGTTGTCCGTGGTTAAAATCTCATGCCGACCAAGACTTTTTTATATTTTTTTTTCTTATAGCGTAAAGCATTGCAAAAAAAAGAGTATTGTAACAGTCTTCTTTTTCTAGAGAGCTATTACTAACGCCTAACAGTCGGTCTTTTTGTTCTCCGGCGCCACCACCAATGTTTAAAGTGTTTGAGAAACCACCTCGGCCAATACGGATAGCTTTTCTACAGTGGAGAATCCAGGGAAATGGGGTAAAAGCCAGTTAAAGTCGAATATATTCCATAACGAGGTTTATTTAAATAAATTAATTATGAATCCTTCAAATAAATAAAATATGAAGAAAATACTAAAACATGAAATATCGCAAAATCTAACACAGAGAAATTAAATCAGTTAATTACAATAGCAAATAATTAAGTAAGTAATTAATAAATTAAATTAATTATGAATCCAATCTCTTCAAATAAATAAAATATGAAGAAAAATACTAAAACATGAAATATCAAAATCTAACACAGAGAAATTAAATCAGTTAATTACAATAGCAAATAATTAAGTTCATATGATTTAAATTCAAACCTGTAAAGAAATATTATAATAGAAAAATACTAGCAATACATATTCACATGCATCTTTAAATAAATCAAATATAAATCCAGTATCTTCAAATAAATCAAATATGAAGAAAATATTAAAACATGAAATATCGCATTGGTTTCACCCTTTTTGGTTGGATTGGTTTAGTTACTAGGCGGGTTGGTTAGCGTGGTTATTTGGAGGGTGTTAATTCATTGGTTAGTTGGTTATTTAGTGGGGTTGGTTCGTATTTACTAATTTATATTTGTTTTTTATATTTATTTATCAGTCTCGAGGTTAGTTGCGTTGGTTTGGTGGGGTGGATAGCGTTGGTTAGTCCTTATAAAATTCCTATATTTCATAAAGCCGTCAAGTGCTTCACACCAACGACGACGTCATACCTATTAACGGCATTTTAGTAAGCTACCGTTTAACGGCAGTTTAAGTACAGCCATTTAGAAAAACTTCTTCACGAAATTGTTGCACAGGGTATTTTAAAGTTAAAAAAGGATTTTTTTAGACTTTAAAACACCCTGTGTTTAAAGGATAAAAACAACCCTTCAAATAACTCTCTATAATAAGACCAACACTAAAATTTATAAAAAAAACTGAGTTTATGAATTAAAGTTTATAGATTTATAGACAGTTTGTTAAAAAATCATAAAATTAGGGCTAAAAGTAAAAAAAATATAACACTTTAAAATTGAAGAAAAAACTTTAGTTTTTTTCAGTGGAGCCATCTATTATCCTTACTAAATTTACCAATATCCTTAGATAATTAAATGATTGCGAATTAATAATAGTTCTCGAAAAAAAAAAAATTGTCCTCCAGTGATTGTTTTTAAATTTTGAAAATCATTATAAACGAACAACATTTATTTCAATTTGGTTGGTAATTTCTAAATTTATAAAAAGATAACTTCAAATGTTTTTAAATAATATCGTAATACATACTTTCGTTCTATGAAATATATTTTATATGATAGCCTAGTTTTAGTATAACCTTAGCCTACAAATTAAAAACATTATTATTAATAGATATAGTAAATAATATTTACAAACTATGGAAGACATATTTTTTCAGAAATTTACTTTTAAATGTGTTTTTTTTCAGGAAATTTTGGCTAACAAAGTTCTGATTGAATTTTCATATATTTATTGATTATTATCATTCCTTACTCGTATAACATATGTAACAAATAAGTATTTTAGGGCTTCTTCCAAGCATTTTGCTGTAAAATTGTTGGTTGATCGTTCATAGTATGCTTGCAATATCATAATGTATGGAATTTGCTGGTGCTTGTAGAATGTAGAATGTTTAGGAGGGGAGTTAATCACCGCGACCTTATAGATCTATTGTGTGTTCCCCTTACTTGAGTTATAACGAGTTATAACTCATCATACAGTCTCAGGGCTTTAACAAAACCAAGTATCTGAGACGGCTCACAGAGGACAGCTCTCCATCCTCGACATCAGACGTACCAAGCTTCACGGCATGAATGGTCGTCGTCTCGGCGCACTCAGTGATAATGTGTTCTGGTGTTTCCCATTTTCCCCACAAAATCTGCATTCGCCGTTGTTTCTCAGTTTCAGCCTACTGAGGTGTTCGTTGAGGAGACAGTGTCCTGTTAGAAACCCCGTGACAATCCGAAGATTGTTTTTACTAAGATCAAGGAAAACCTTTGATTTTTCTCGGTCATAAGTTCTGAGGAACTTTTCGAGTGTCTTAGACCGTTGGAGGACACCCATTCCAAGTTACGGATGGAGTCTTCCAGATTCTTCAGTCCCGCTTTCAGTTGGTTCCTGTTTGGAAAACAGAGCGGTTCTGGTCCAGTTAGTGGAGCGTTCGCCCTTTTCTAGCTAGATCGTTTGCTTTTCATTGCCTTCTATCCCTTGGTGAGCAGGCACCCAGAGTAGGAGGACTTTATTTTCTTTGCCTAATTTGTTGAGCTTCTCTAGGCATTCTTTGACCAACTTCGAATTGATGGTTACTGAGTTGATCGCGTTAAGTGCTGCTTGACTATCGGATAGGATGGCAATTTCCTGTTTTCGATAGTTCCTATCTAAGATAAATTGTACGCATCTTTCGATAGCGCAAATTTCTGCCTGAAGGATACTGGGGTAGGTGCCTATTGGTTCGGAGTATTTAGTTTTCGGCCCAAATACTCCTATCCCTGTCTCTGCTTTGGTTTTGGAAGCATCAGTATACCACATGATGGTATGGTCTTTTATATGCTGAGTAAGCGTTTCTTTCTTCCAATCCTTTTTATTACTCAATACTACAGTGGGGTGTTTCTCAAAGTTGTAAATTCTTGGAATGTCATCCACTGGGAGTTGGTGAAGTGGAATTTTCTTTTTGAGGGTGTTCCAAGCCCCTGACCTGAAAATTCTCCCAGTACTGTTTCCGTCAATGATCATTCTAATCATTGTCGCATTGGCATAACTACCGACGACAATGTGGAGTGGTGTTAGGTCTAGAATGACCTCCATTGCTGCTGTTGGACATGTTCTTATGGCACCTGTGATGCAGATACATACATTGCTGGTGCTTTGTTATTGAATAATATAATATTATACATACATATTTTTTAGTGCTTGGTATGGCAAAATCAAAAACAATTTTTAGGTAGTAGTTTATACTTACTATGTACTCTATGTAATGTTTTGTGTATGAAATAATATCATGTAATCACATTTTATTAATTTCAAAGTGGCCTGCGTTCATATTTATTCCAAACAACGATTTGTTAAAAAGAAAAGAATGGAAACAAAATAATTTTTAGAAACGTAAAATATTTACTTTCTTTAGTTTTGATTTTCCGCTTAAAGAATTTATTATTGTCATAAAGTCTCCAAACTTCACTCAATTTCATTGTTTTATATTCCATATCCAAGTAAGAAACACATTTTTTAAACTGATATACAGGGTGTCCCAGGTTGAGCGTACATTAGAAGTTTCTAGAGAACTACAATAGCTAGATCGGAGATTTTTTGCACATCATCGTTTCACAACGAGATCTATCGATTAAGAATATTTTCAATATGGCGGCACTTCTGGAAATACCGGAAGTTGATTTTGAAGCAACTTTTTTATTTTAAATAGGTACTCTCATTTTTTATTACATACTACATAAAATCTTTGTAAAATTTTAGGAATTTTGATATTATAATAATATTTAAAATTTTTGGAGGGAAAAAACTGCCATTTAAAAAAAGGTTGTATAGCCTAAACGTCAAATTTAGTGACTACAACAGCCACTGCGTTTGTTCCGGTATTTCCGGAAGTGCCGCTATATTAAAAATATTTTTAATAGATAGGTCACATTGTGAAACAATAATGTGCAAAAAATCACCGATCTAGATATTGTAGTTCTCTAGAAACTTTTAATGCATGCCCAGCCTGGGACACCCTGTATGTCCGATACTTGAGCGCAATGCATCAAAATGATAGCCTAGGTTAATTGTATCATTTTTCTGAATAAAAAAAACCACTGGTTAATAATAGTGTTCAATAAAGAAAAATTGAAGTAAAAAAACATAATACATAGAATTAAAATTAAAAATACTAATATTATTTTATTATACAGGGTGTGTCAAAAACATGTGCCATCTCTCGCGGGGAGATTCCTCACGTAAAAATAAGATTAATTTTTCATATCAACATAAATAAAATAAAATTGCGTTTATCCCATCTAGGAGACCGAATTCGACAAAATATCAAGAGATAACTTTTCATTGACATAAAACGGCCTACGCAATTTTGATATCAAAAGAAAAAAGTCAGTGGCGTACATGATTTTTTTATGAAAAATATTCCAGTGATAACTCATATGCACGTCCCTGATAAATTTATTAACACTTTTTAGCATTAAAATATGTAGCACTTAAAGTAACTTTTACCCTCAAAATGTCATTCTAATCACTAAAAGTATTTGGAAGAAAATTGTAATTAATCGAAAGATTATTAAGACTTTAACACCCTGTAGCAACGAAATAAAGCAGAATCGGACCTATGTTGATATGAAAAATAAATCTTATTTTTACATGAGGAATCTCCCCACGAGAGATGGCACATGTTTTTTGAGACACCCTGTATATAAGTTATTAATTAAAATTTCATTTAGGACGAATTATCTAAAATGATCCATGCATTATATAAATTCGCCTAATGAACCTGCTTATTTTTAATATAATAATAATTATTATTATTTTAATTTTTAATATAAAAATAATATTTATTCTAATTCTAAAAATGTGTTTCAGTACAAAACTGCACCAGTTTCAAATTAAATTTAACCCAATTTATTTCAAAAAATAAAAATTTGTTTACTGACTAATCTATATTTTTAATTTAACAAATCTAGACTAATTTCCTTACTTCCATGTATCGATTGCTTTTGCTTTATTTCTTTTTTATTTAATTTTTGTCTTCTAAAAACGTTTTGTTGTTCATAAACCCCCAACTGTAAACGTTTTGATGTTCCACCAATGTAAAATATGCACATTATGCCAGACTGGTTAAATATGGTATGCACAATATTTAGTCTTCTCTTTTACAATAAAGCCGCAATAAAAAAGTAGTAATCGATAAGTAGAATTTGCCGAATATTAAAATATTAATCCAAGAAAATTCTAGCCAACATTAGCGATGCATAGTTAATTAATATGCCGACGA